CATCTAGAGGGCAAAATGTGTTGTCGACCGCGAGGCTGGAGACATCAGCCATTTCATAATTATTATCTTCTTTGTCACTGTCACGGCATCCTCCTCCTGTGTGTTTCTTCTTCCTGGGAACTTCCACAGTCATTCCCAGATCCACGTTCTGTCAGTTGTCCTTCCTGCTCATACTCTCAGCTACATTCACTGGAGAAGTTGCTGGACGATCACCGAGGATTTGAGAAAGTTTCGTGGAAAATTTACACAACTTTCTACCTTTACCGCTTGTTGTTTACAGTCTCTGAATGACTTCTTTAATGTATGCATTCGAGTTTTGCACTGATGATTAGATTTCTCATAGCCACTACTGTTTATCTCATTTGAGACCACTGTGTAGACTGATCCCTTGTGTTTCTTGGGATTCTCCAGGAGCATTTCTACATTCCTTTCATGCCAAATTGACAGCGGGCTCTCATTTTCCCTCATCAGTCCACAATATGCCATGCTTAGCTGTCCTTTATCCAGCCATATTGTTACAAAACCTCCAGCCAAGCAGACATTCATTGAAACCAGACGGGTCATGTGACAAGCACACTTTCATTGAATCCAGACAGGTATGTGACTGTCTGCCATTGTCTAGCCATTTAAGTGACGTACTAAGATTTTTGTAGACGTGATGCAATAGGCTTGCTTGTGAGAGTAAACCTTGAGATCGTTTACATGACAATGGATACTTGTGGAGTAAAATACTCCAGGAGTAAATATACTTTTACTACACCTTTTGGGGAGAAGTAAATTACAGCAGTAAAACTATTCATGTGAGCAAAACCATTTACATAACAAATTTACTTACCCTAAGAATATTTACTTATGTAAGCAAATATACTTACGTAAGTATATGTGTGCATGTAAAAAGGGCTTATATGTACTGTTGACCCCCACGATTCTAAAGTATTGATTTGCTTCTGTAACGCAGACTCTACATCAGATACAAACATCACTGGCAAACATGAACAACCATAACGTAACGCATGTTATATTTGGGATTACACTTTCCCAGTAAAGAACTGATTCTAGTATTTTTCTTGGGTTCCATTCGGAATTTGAACCCACACCCACGCGAAATTGTGTATCTAAAATCTATCATGACCCATCTTAAAGACGGAGACCAATTAATAACCAATAAATCAGATAATGAATATATCTGAATGATTAGTGAGTGAGCGAGGTTAGTTTTACGCCGCACTCAGCAATATTCCAGCTACATGTATGTGGCGGCGGTCTGTAAATATTTGAGTCTGCACCAGACAATCCAGTGATCAACAACATGAGCATCGATCTGCGCAATTGGGAACCGATGACATGTGTGAACCAAGCCAGCAAGCCTGACCACCCGATCCCGTTAGTCGCCTCTTACCACAAGCATGGGTTACTGAAGGTTCATTCTAACCCGGACCTTCACGGGTCCTGAATGATGCGATACAAGGAAGTGGAGTGTGCTCATTTGGGAATGTTAAGCGTGGCAGACCGTCCTGGAATGTTTTGAACAACGCACCTCAGCCAGAATGGCTGTTAAGGCGTTTGCTCGTCACGCCGAAGACCCGGGTTAGATTCCCCACATGGGTACAATGTGTGAATCCCATTTCTGGTGACTCGGCCGTGATATCGCTTGAATATTGTTAAAAGTGGCGTAACTTCACTCACTCACTGTACTGCTACATGACATAATATTTAAACAGTTTATGAATAGATTATAACAGCAAACAAAATACTTTTGAAACGTTTTCGCAGAACCTTCAGGAAGTCACCGAATATCAGCAGCCAGGATGGTGTATGCACAACCTCCTTAATCGTATGACTCTTATCTGATTTGCTTTCCTCTGATGCCTCGCACAGAAATACTTCACGAGTCTGTACATTTTGTCCACACAGGGTGCATAGAGCGCCTATGTGTTTGCTAACAAATACCACTCGTGACGTCAGAATTGGTCTTCAGTAACCTATGTTTGTCGTAACTAACGGGATCGGGTGGTCAGGCTCGCCGACTTGGTTGACACATGCCACCCTATCCCAATTGCGTAGATCGATGCTGAGGCTATTGATCACTGGATTGTCAGGTGCGGACTCAATTATTGACTGAACACCGTCTTATAGCTGGAATATTGCGGTGTTCAATAACAAACAAACTAAATTTTAAAGCGATAAGACCCACATCGGGTATATTTTCACCTGTGTTCACGAGGGAGGGATATTGATCGCCTGAACAGACTCTCACTATCAGTTACTTGGGGTAAAACAACAGCAATACTCACAGTCTGTTGATTTTGGGATTTGAACGATAACGTATCCACCGTTATCTAAAGTTGGGTCGGTCGGTCATCTCTGTATCAGGAAAGAAGACTAAAACCTCTCTAACTTTGAGCTTGTTCGATTAAGAGGGGCTCTGGGAAATCTGCGTATGGAAAAGATCAAAAGGCCTGTCTTTAAAAACAAAATTAATCTGTTTTCTTTGGTATTCAGGAAATACGAAATATATAACTGTTGATTTGGAATCTCGAACACAGATTGCACTGCAAACTATGGCAGAGAACAACAGAGGAAAGCAGCAGAGGTAATAAAGATAGAATGAACCAGGTGTTACTATCACAAGGTTAGACACCATCATTAATAAAAACGTATTTTATTTTTCTTTAATGCATGATGGTGAGAAAGGTATGATACTTTATGGATAACGATTGTTTTTATTATACTATGATGCGACGTTTCGGTATAGATTCTTATATCGTTGTCAAGCAAGAGTGAAGTAATACAGCACAGAATCGACGTATAAATAATAAAATACATCTACGTCCCATTTTCTATGCAACGCGTTAAAAAAACGCACACCGTGTATTTTACTATGACCGCGCGCACTACAACCGGTGCGTCAATGCGATCCGATGTGATGAAAATAGGTGCTGCATCTATCATCACTGCATCGCATTTGAAACCCATGGAATTCCATTTGTGACGTCATTATTTTGTTACAATTAGGGGTATTTTCCATCATAAACGCTTCACAGACAATGTCAGCGGGATTCTTTTTCAGTGACATGGTGCAGCTACTATCCCCTCTTCATAACATGATCGAGTACAGCAATACAATTAAATAAATGTATGTATATTTTTCTTTTAGAAAAGCATACGTTACATATGTTTAACTTCTTCGCCTAATATACAGATGTAAATAATTGATGTTGATCAATCTGAAAGACAATTTATATAAAAGGGGTACTCACGAGTTTACAGTGGTATACTGTAGCAAAAACACAATAGGAAAACGCATGTAGTGAGAGCAGAAAAACGCAATGCAACGCATCGCATGACGCATCGCATAGAAAATCGGACGTATTGTGCGTGCAACAGGGATTAAGTGAGGTGAGGTGAGGTGAAATTGGGTTTAACGTCGTGCTTGAGAATATTTCGCTCATATGACGACGTGCATGCGTGTGTATGTGTATGTGCGGCTGCTTGTACTAGCCCAGACTTAAGCTGGTTTTATAGTGCTAGCCCACTGAGATACCAAGCCACAGTGAAGCATGAATACCCCACTCAGACACATTATACTGACTCCGAGCCGACCAGTCCTTGTTGTACCCATTAATGCCGAGCGCCAGGCAGGGACCAACAAGTACCATATTTTAACGTCTTTTGGTATGACGCGGTCGGGGATCGAACCCGCGACCTTCCGCACTCCGGGCGGACGCTCTAACCACTACACCACGGAGGCGGTCCGGGATTAAGTAAGACAACATAAGGGTACAAGCATCTAGACCGAAACGCATCATAATATAATAAAGACGTTATTTATCCAAAAAGTATCATACATTTCTTATCATTCATCAACTTCTAAAATGCTAATCAAACAGGTAAGTGACGGTGTATTGATAAATGAAATATAAGAAAAAGAATGTTAATACATAGCGCTTATCTTTATTTTTATCACTTGTCCTCTAACACCCGTGAAGTTCCGTGTCAGAATTGATCTTCAGTAACCCATACTTGTCGTAAGAGGCGACTTACGGGATCGGGTGGTCAGGCTCGCTGACTTGGTTGACACATGTCATCGGTTCCCAATTGTGTAGATCGATGGTCATGATGTTGATCACTGGATTGTCTGGTCCAGACTTGATTACTTACAGACCGCCGCCATATAGCTGGAATATTGCTGAGTGTCGCGTAAAACTAAACTCACTCACTTACTTGTCCTCTACCTGCAGCGATCCGTGAAGATCCGGGTTAAAATTGATCTTCAGTACTGCCTGACTGAGTTTAGTTTTACGCCGCATTTAGCAATATTCCAGCAATATCACTGCGAGGGAAACCAGAAATGGGCTTCACACATTGTACCCACGTGGGGATGATCTTTAGTAACCCATGCTTGTCGTAAAAGGCGACTAACGGGATCGGGTGGTCAGACTCGCTGACTTGGTTGACACATGTCATCGTATCCCAAATGCGTAGATCGATGCTCATGTTGTTGATCACTGGATTGTCTGGTGCAGACTCGATTATTTACAGCCCTCCGACATATAGCTGGTATGTTGGCGAGTGCGACGTAATACTATACTCACTCACTCTGCAGCCTTGATCCTAGCACAGACACGGCGAGGAAGCGATTTTATGAACAGTGGTAATGTTTTCGAGTTCGAGTGGGCGGAAATATAAAATAAAAATATTTTCTTGTCGGCGACCAATTAATTTACTGTCGGTCTGGCGATGAGAAACACAGAAAAAAATATTGCCATAATGATGACTTCCAAACGTTCGCCCCCTCCCCTCTACCACCGCACCCCCACCCCCCATACCCCTACACACAACCCATTCACACATTCACGTAAATATATAATTTGGCATTTAGGTAAGGCGAAATTACGACAGAAATTATAAAACATTTATTAAAGCACAAACTACAGTAAAAACAAGTGACGATGCGCCTTTAAAATGTCACGCCGTCCAGCTTGTGTTGTAAAGTGTGCTAGGATCTCGGCAGAGATCTATACACAATGGCCGACCAGGGCAACAGCGTCATACCTCGCGAAGAGTTCCACGACTTTGTCGTGCGCTGCATGACAACTGTTGGTGCGCGTCAAGACGACGCACGTGCACTGGCTGACCTGCTTGTTGCAGCAGACTACAGAGGCCACTACAGTCACGGACTGAACAGACTTGGTAAGTCTTTCATTCGATATGGTGGACCAGTGTACTGATGATGGGCGTTGATCAGCGGTTTTCGATTGTGACTTGAGAAGACGCATAAATCGTTTTAGATAACACATGATCAAACATCAGGCAGATGTATTTAGTTGAATTTATACTGTCAGTGAGATGACTTTTAAATAAATTCTAAGAGAAACAGTTTCGAATCATTACATGTTGTAAACAATCTTTCTTAGTTTTGTTTGAACAGCGCTTGAGATGAACTTTTGCCCTCCTCGTCCTGCGACAAGTATATGATGCCAGGACGGAAATTCTAAACGCAAACAGGCGTCCGAATAAAAATGATGGACAAAATACTTGGGAACAGTAAAAACAAAACCATCGGCCTGGACTATACTATACTCTTTGGTAGATTAAATGCTCTCGATCTTTAGAACAAGGACTAGTGATGTGTGGACGCGTGCGTGTATGCGTTCGTGAGACAGTTTATCCTTTTACCATCAGTAGTAGATCTGTGTGTGTTTCTATGTCTCAGTCTGTATGTTGGTACATTTGCTATCATTTCATACTTCCTTATCCACCCAAAGACACTAATCTATCTTCATGCTTTAGGCAGAGATGCCAACCCATACGATTTTATCGTATTCGTTACGAAACAACAACACAGTACGATAGCAGTAAAATGTAAGATTTTTTAATAAAATACATAAAATTAAACTATCAAACAGCATATGTACCATACACAATAAATTGCAAGCACATTTGATTCAGTATCAAGCTATATGTGGATACTTAATACTGATTTAGGCGAGTACAGTGTTAGTAACAAGCTATATGTGGATACTTAATACTAATTTGGGCGAGTACACTGTTAGTAACAAGCTATATGTGGATACTTAATACTGATTTAGGCGAGTACACTGTTAGTAACAAGCTATACGTGGATACTTAATACTGATTTAGGCGAGTACACTGTTAGTAACAAGCTATATGTGGATACTTAATACTGATTTAGGCGAGTACACTGTTAGTATCAAGCTATATGTGGATACTTAATACTGATTTAGGCGAGTACACTGTTAGTAACAAGCTATATGTGGATACTTAATACTGATTTAGGCGAGTACACTGTTAGTATCAAGCTATATGTGGATACTAAATACTGATTTAAGCGAGTACACTGTTAGTAACAAGCTATATGTGGATACTAAATATTGATTTAGGCGAGTACACTGTTAGTATCAAGCTATATGTGGATACTTAATACTGATGTAGGCGAGTACACTGTTAGTAACAAGCTATATGTGGATACTAAATACTGATTTAAGCGAGTACACTGTTAGTAACAAGCAATGAAAACAATGAAAACCTTTTGGAAAGGTTAATACTAATTTTGGCCAAAAAGGACTAATTTTTGCGTCAGTTTTGGCCAAAATACTAATTGGGCTAAATTAGGCATCTCTGTTTAGGTGTGACACTTTGTAGCTGCTTTACAAGACCGACAAATATAAATATACAGAAATCTTTAATCATATTAAATACTTTTTCGATGAAATAAAAACATGGCAGGCTTTATCATCTCTGAAATATTGCGTATAGAAATTCGTATTCGACAAAAGAAAATGATTTTATAATGTTTCAGTACATTCAGTTTCCTGATGATTTATTTATTTTTTGTTTATATTTGTATACATTTTGACAACCTAGATTTACTTTTTAGGCCACACTTCTACGAAAATATATAATACTGGTAGAGATGGCTGCAGGGCAAACGTGCAATCGAAAAGAAATATTATTATTAAAAAATATTTATTCAGATCTGTACAATCAGCTATGATGCATGTTTGATGCAAAATCACTAAAAGCTTAAATATATTCATAAATATATGTACATCAGTAACAATTACTTCGAGTCCATTTACATAATGATGTAGATTGTACTTTATGAATTGCTTGTTTAGGGGCGGTGGGGTAGCCTAGTGGTTAAAGCGTTGGCTCGTCACGCCGAAGACCCGGGTTCGAATCCCCACATGGGTACAATGTGTGAAGCCCATTTCTGGTGTCCCCCGCCGTGATGTTGCTGGAATATTGCTAAAAGCGGCGTAAAACCAAACTCAGTCAGTCAGTCAGTATTGCTTGTTTCATACGCTGCAGTTCATTGTCCTTCATTCAACATTCAACACACATTCAGCTAGGACACAGAGGAATGGCGGCTTCTGATCTGTGTAGTGATCTGGCAAAATCTACCCAATGTGTGTGACGTAAAAGTCAAAATCCAAACGCTTTTCAAAATATCTACGTTCATGTTTATCTATAAAATCCCAAATCACCAGCTGTGTACTTTTATTTGAGCGTCAGTTTAGATTCCTTCTTGACTCTGCAGACATGTACGTGCGTGATGTGCAGTCAACAATGACAGTCACAGACAAGACTCCGGAAATTGTCAAGGAGACAGCAGCAACAGCATTCGTCAATGGCAACAACGTCTTGGGTAACGTCTTTGTGAAATTATTTCATAATATGATTAAAAAATACCCGTGCAACTACTGGAGTTAACCTTTCTTGTCCAGTGGGCATAGCAACACACAGCGTTCCATTGTGGATGTTCGTTAAATTGTCTTGAACAGCACACATCGCCCAAGATATAAAAATGAATTTGTTATCTTATTCAACAAAACATGTTTCCATACTCATAAGAAATCTCTACTTAAAGATCCCTGCTCAACTGGAGGGACCCGTAATAAACACACGCTAAAGCTCGTCTGTTGATCACCTGAAGAAACATCTAACCCACTCAGCCAAAGCGACTTCCACGAAAATGGAAGTCTAACAATATATGTTAAGTTTGACCACTTTCTTATGGCAGAGTGTAATCATAGCTTTCGGTCGTGGGAGCCGTGCCAATTTATACCTTTCAGATGGGTACACAAAGTTTTTGATGTTGACTAGCAGTTGCCAGACATTTATTATTGTGGAAGCAGCCACGCTGACTGAGTGGGTTAGGCGGCTCACTTTGTGTGCTGGCAAATAGGTGCCTGACTTTATTAAGATTCGAACCCCGGATGGAACTCAACCTATTAAAAGTACAAGACTCTGTACTTTACAGAGAAAGTGTAATACCAACATATAGTACGAATCATAGCCAATTTTTACCTTAACATGGCTTTTGTTTCCCAGTGTGATTTACCATAGACAAACGAAGTTGAGTGACACTCACAAGATATAGTTGTTCGCAGAAGGTATTATACACGTGCATTTCTCGATGTTGAAACCAGGTATTTCAGTGAAATGATGTGTTGAGGAAAAATGAAAAATTCTTGTGGGTGTGCGAAGTACCCCATTTAGATTAAACAGTAACAATGTTTTACTTTACCCAACCTACAGGTCCAGTGGTGGGTCGGTTTTGTATAGACCTCGCCATCGAGAAGGCCAAGAAAGCTGGTATAGGATGGGTGGTGGCTAAAGGTAAGACATGTCAGTGATAGCAAATTACCAGAATGTCAATACTTTGCTATATTTAACTTATGTGCAAGTCAGCTCACGGTGACAATGTGTCAGATATGTTTGTTTTTTCTTTTAACAATATTTTTTTCAGTTGGAAACACATAAATTCCGGTTCAACGTGTACAACAGGGAACAATTGTTATGTACAGATACACTCATTCAGTGATTGAGCTTCTATTGTTTGGAGTTAGTGTGTACCTGTGTATTTTTATGCCGCTTTTAGTAATATTCCAGCAATATTACGGCGGGGACACTAGAAATGGGCTTCACAGATTGTAGCCATGGTAAATCGAACCCGCGGCGTGACAAGCCAACGCTTTAACCACTGGGCTACCCCACCTCCTCTCAATTGTTTTAGCGGAAGGTCGCGGGTTCGATCCCCGACCGCGTCATACCAAAAGACGTTAAAATATGGTACTTGTTGGTCCCTGCCTTGCGCTCGGCATTATTGGGTACAAAAAGGACTGGTCGGCTCGGAGTCAGTATAATGTGTCTGAGTAGGGTATTCATGCTTCACTGCGGCATGGTATCACAGTGAGCTAGCACTATAAAACCAGCTTCAGTCTGGGCTAGTACAAGCAGCCGCACATACACATACACACGCATACACGTCGTCATATGAGCGAAATATTCTCAAGCACGACTTTAAACCCAATTTAACCTCACCTCACCTCAATTGTTTTAAAGACCATGCACTATTACCCATTATATGTAATCATGTGACATCGCAGTGTTTTCTGATAAATTCTTGAAACAAACATAACTCTATTATCCTGTATTATATGATGCCCTAATGTAGACACTCTGTATACGTTTGGAGAGTACATATTAGTGTTTCCTAATGACTATTCGCGGGAAGAAACGGTTTCACTCTCTATAGCATACCGTTAGCTCTCGACCTACTTGTGGCTATATGTTCTGACAAGTTGTCATTCTACACGATAATATATGGAACAGCACGTTTCCACGTGTGTCCGTGCATTGGCAACACGTTACTAAGTATGCACGTCTGACTAACTCGTATGTATCTTGTCTCGGTATTTGTTCATCCCGCTTGTTGTTTGTGTCATAGATGACGTCATCAGTGATACAACTTAACATCCGGGTTAGAAGTGGTCTTCAACAACCCATAAGAGGCGACTAACGGGATCGGATGGTCAGGCTCTCTGACTTGTTTGATGCATGTCATCCCATCCCAAATGTGTAAATCGACATTCATGATATCATTCGCTAGATTGTCTGGTCCAGATTCGATTATTTACAGAACGCCATCATATAGCTGGAAACTTGTCGTGTAGGTTTTAAACAAAACTGTTGTGTAAACAATATACTAACAAACAATATACAATGTACATGTAATACGTTTCCAATACACGTAACATTTCTTGCTTTCTCTGCTCAGGTTCCAACCATTTTGGCATCGCCGGCTGGTACTCAATGCGGGCCACGGAACAAGGTTTAGTGGTAAACTACAGTTACTTTTAGAACAAAGCTTCCACGGGATGCTGTTGTCTGCTGTTGTTGGCAGGTTCATTTCGTCATCCATACCACTGGGTCTGTAATTGGCAGGACTTCGGCTTTCCCCAAGCTGACACGGCATGATATAACTGAAATACTGAGGCGTTAAACCTAATTATTCCCTCGTTTATTAATTCACTATTAGATGCGCCCAGACATCCCCCGATCGCGTGGTTGACTCCATGTCTTCGTGTCTCGATAACTTGAACCGTTCATACACAATGCCAATTAGAAAGTGGTCGAATGTAACATATGTTATAAGTGGAATTACACTTGCTTAGTAAAGAACAGATTATAATACATTTGTTGGGTTAAGTCCCATCTGGGATTCGAACCCACAACCTCAGAGTCGGGCACCTAATCGCCAGCCCACAAAATCAGCCGCCTAACCAATACTTTTGTGGAAGCCGCGCTGGTTGAATCGGTTAGACTGCTGACTTTGAGTGCTGGCGATTAGGTGCCTGACTCGGAGACTCAACCCATCAATAGTACTAGATCTGGACTTTATTCAGTGTAGTCCGAAAAAATATACCATGTGTTAAACTTGAACAATTTTCAACAGTTGTGTAGTTCTGTTATGTTCGAGAGAACCACCAGTCTCGACGCTGTATTTGTCAGTGACAATCAGTGACAATATCCTCCCCAGTCTCAGATCATTCTGAGTGTAATCAATCAAGATAGCACACATCAAAACCACTCTTTTCAAGTCGATACATGCATTATGTCACCTGATGACAGGAGATGAATATATGTAGATCTGTCTTTTACTCAATCAGTTCATGAAGACCTGAATGCATACCTGTTTCCATTAATTATTATCCCCCGTAACGCGTTTTGCTGGGGTATTATTTGGGACTGTCCGTCTGTGCAAATTCGTCTTTTCCGGAGCAGAACATAAAAACTGTTCAATATTTCTTCACCAAACTTTGCACATAGATCGGTCTGGTGGTGAACTGGTGCCTTTTGGCACTTTTGTATTTCTGTATAAAATTGGCTTTTTTGCGTTTCCATGGCAACAAGTTTGACTTTGACAATACTTGGAGGTAGTGCTCCTTTCCGGAACAGAACTTTAAAACTTGTCAATATTCTCCTTCCACTTTGTGGGTATTCAAGCACCTAATGACATAAATCAATGGTAGCACTCTATTTCCAGTATCAACATTACTGAGGTACATCAAACCGTGGAAGCACTCAGACAGTCTGTTGTTGATACAAGCTAGTATATAGTTTACATATATATATTTTCATTAGATCAATGTGAAGAACAATGTAACATTTGACAGAGTCATAACTAGTTGACATATTCATGAAGGGTATTTTACCATTGCAGAGGATATTGATGACTTTGCCTTCTTTCTTATAAATATTTATCGCATTCGACATTTGTAACTGCTCTAAACACTTAGCTGTGACGGTTATTAAGGTTAATATGTCATTGTTAGCTAATTTTATGAAATTGTGTTATAAATGAGCGTACTTCTGTGGAGTAGGGTGTAGAGTATGTCTGAACTTGATGTACGTCATCACAGCTGTATTTCAATATCCCTTCACCACTTTAATGGCCTGGGTTGAAGACAATCCCAGCTCTGTGGTGTACGGTTTCATTATGTATTGTCGCCTTGTCAGCTGTCCTCCAGTCCAGGTCGACGTGCCCTATGTTGTAAATCGATTTCAGTGGCTGTTTTTTCTCCATGTGTGGACTGGACTATTAATAGGCCACAGGGACAAATAGGGGAATATTACATACTGCGGCTTAAAGCAACATTCACTCACTGGAGTGTTGTTTGCTGGCTTTCTGTATGACAATACTGACGTAAAATTAAAAACCGACATTGGAAATCAAGATCATGTCGCTGGCGGACATTGAAAAGATACGATTTGTTTGAGATACGGTACATGCGAAAAAGTAAGGATACGATTTTTAAATAAACATCAGTAATGGTTAAGCGAACAACAAGGAGGTTAATGGATCTTATGCGATTATCGTTGTGAACGTCAGCATCATCAACTGCAAATAAATGGTGGGTATCATTATAACGTGGACTTACTGGACCACAGCCAGCTTTAGAAATGATAGATTGGTATGGTCAGTATAGTGTTCCGTCTGGTATCTCACGTTATCATCGAGAAAAGGGGGAATTTCTGTGAAACAATTATTTTGTTCAAATGTCACGGTCCTGATCTCCATCATTGACTTCAATCACACGTATAAAGATTAAACCTCACCCTGGCTGATTTTCGTATTGGCAGGGAATGGCCTTCACGAACACGTCGCCCTTGTTGGTACCGACTAGAGCCAAAGATGTGAGTATGGCATTTCGTTATAACGCGATACTTTGTATATGTGTAAGACGTGCATATTTTGATATTTTATCATTGTGCAACTATTGTAGGAAAATTGTTCTGATAGCGACCGGTAATGTGTGTATCTTAGCCAATGAGCACTGTCAGGGTGTCGTTAAACATACAATCAGACATATGCTCATGATAGAGCCGTAATTGTACAAACGACTCTTATGGATTTCATATTGATGTGGAAAGAGTTTCGTCGATTTTATAATTGTGTCTATTTTACGTCGGTGATAGAGGCATTTATGTCTTGGCGGGGGCTTCTCGAGTGGACATCATACATGATGTATTCTGCGGAATAATATTAATCTAATGGGGCGTCGAACCCGGAACTTCTACAACAGGGTTTTCCTAGACTTCTTCAGCTAAATATATCAGACCATATGCCAGCCGGATTTAAGAGGCAAGCCAGATGTTAAAAAACTAGGACTTGTACTGTGTCACAGCGGACTCTCGGCACCAACCCCATCAGCGTCGCCGCCCCCGCCAACAACGGCGACAGTTACGTGTTGGACATGGCTACGACATCAGTTGCTCTCGGCAAGGTATTGACATGCTATTTTTGTTAATTTCTTGTAAAATCTAAATCGTGTTACTTGAGATATCTTAGAAATACTGTTATGTTGTAAAGATGAGATGAGATGTGTCTGTGTGTATGCGTAGGTGCGTACGCGTGCATGTACTGTTCCGGACTAATGCTGGCTTCATGGCGCAAGCCGACTCCGATGCAATGCCGCAGTTAAGCATTGATATCACGCTCGCACACAGTATACTGACGCCAAGCCTGCTAGTCCTTGCTCTATTCAGGTGTGACGAGGGCCAGGCATGGTAACACCAAGCATCTGTGGATGTCTTATGGCAGGTCTCGGAAGGGGGCGTGGGGGGTGGGTATTGGACCACCAACCGTAGTTTGAGTAGCTATGTACACATTTACTGCCAGGTTGATGTACATGATAACAGTTTGGTTAGCGGACTTAGATTTGGAATACATACATGTGCTATCACTTATGTCTTTAATTATGTATTCGTAGGTTGAGCTGAACGACAGAAAGGGTATCGATGTGCCGGTCGGCTGGGGAAGTGACGGAGACGGAAAGGTATGAAACCTACACCAGTTCCTAGCAGTCTGTGGGAACTGGAAATAACGAAGCTCTGTATATTCCTAGAGATACGCCACGGCGTCAGCTCGGTGTGGGGGAAAGGTGAAGGGGGCGGTGTGGTAGCCAAGTGGTTAAAGCGTTCGCTCGTAACACCGAAGACCCGGGTTCGATTCCACACATGTGTACAATGTGTGAAGTCCAGTTCTGGCGTCCTCCTCCCTGATATTGCTAGAATATGACTAAGGTGACCTAAAACAAGTGAATGAATGACGTCAGTACGTAAATAGCATAGACAGGCGGATGAGTGAGTATGTTTTACGCTGCTTTTAGCAATATTCCAGCAATATAACACGACACTGGCACACTGAATGGTCAGGTGATCATTTTGATTCAACATTCTCAATTAATTTGTTAGTAGAATAGAATGAAGCCCCATGATGAGGTTGACGGTATGCTCGCTAATCACATATTGTCTGTAAGTCGAGTACTCATCATGACACACACATACATATTGGATTCTGATGCCACACTGTGTATTCTGATGCCACATGGTTCTGTATAGTTAAAATCTGGGTACTCGTTGAGTTTGTAAAGGAAGTATGTTTTAGACTTATATTAAATTTGTCTTTTTCAGCCGTGCACGAACCCCGCTGAGATTGTAGATAATGGCGGCCTCATGCCGTTGGGTGGACCCGAGGAGTGCAGTGAGTATGCGTCAGATAATCTCGTGGTATCTCGCGGATGTTACCGCATCTTGCAGGTAATCTCGCGGTATCTTGTAAATGTTGCCTGCGACTTGAGGGTAATTTCGCGGTATCTCACGGGTGTTGCTTGCGACTTGAGGGAGGTGTATAATGTGTTCCTTGTCTACAGGTGGTTACAAGGGCTACGGGCTGTCCATGATGGTGGAGTTGTTCTGTGGTATTCTCGGAGGCTCCGCCTTTGGACCAAACATCAGAACGTGGAAAACAACGGACAGAGAAGCGAACCTTGTAAGTCCCTACGCACATCTGTCACAAAACACACAATATGTCTGCAGTATATCTGTCGTGGCATGCCTTTCATGTTTGAATACGCAAGGAAGTCGTTATTAATGATAAATGTACATAGGACTGAAGGAATGCTAAAAAAACATGATTTGCAAATTTCCCCGGAACAGGTTCTTGTATGTATTGATTCTACTGAACCTGTTAATAGATTCCTGAATGAAGTCCAGCGAAAGTCATGATATTCAGATTTGTTTGTTGTATCGGAAATTCGCTGGTTTGTGCGTCAGAATCCATGTAAGAGGTTGAAGTGAGTGAGTGAGTATGGTTTTACGCCGCCTTTAGCAATATTCCAGCAATATCACGGCGGGGGACACCGGAAATGGGCTTCACACATTGTACCCATGTGGGGAATCGAACCCGGGTCATGGGCGTGACGAGCGAACGCTTTAATCACTAGGCTACCCCACCGCCCAAGAGGTTCAAGATTACAGTAGTCCAACATTAGTTCGTAACCTGACGACTGACTGACTGACTGACTGAGTTTGGTTTTACGCCGCTTTTAGCAATATTCCAGCAACATCACGGCGGGGGACACCAGAAATGGGCTTCACACATTGTGCCCATGTGGGGATTCGAACCCGGGTCTTTGGCGTGACGAGCCAACGCTTTAACCACTAGACTACCCCACCGCCCCGTAACCTGACGAAGTACCCAAGGTCCATGTGAGGAGTGTTGTCGTGCAGCATGTATTCTCGTTGATTCTCGCAGGAAACGAGATCCTGTGTGCACTGACTTGACTTCCCGTGATATTTGACAGAAAACTGGGTTACAGAATCTGCTCAGTTAATGTCTACATGGAGTTTTTAAACCCTTCTATATCCGTATTTCGTTATGCCCAGTCTGGATGTGTCGGCCCTGGATGTATTCACCATCAAACTGGGACGGTTTATGCCCGGACTGTCGACAACAAGAAATAATCCGTCCAAATTACTTGTCGACAGTCCGGGAAAGGGAGGTGATGTTCTACATGAGTGACTTCACTCCCAGTGTTCTTGAAATTAACAATCCAATTAAAACAGAGTCTGTTATATATAGCAGACAATATATTTATTCAGTCAATATAACAACATGCATATGTATCATGCATGTGTCATATGTCACACAATATAACATATTTGTAATATATTTCATAAAGCTCACACAATATATGTGTGTGTGTGTGTGTTTTATATAAATAAGTAATTTCTGCAGGTGTATAAGTAATAAATATATAAAACATGAGTCCAGTTATTTCTTCTTGCCAAAACTCCTTTATATGTGCACTAAAGTAATCTGAATGTTCAGCCAAGCTGCAGCAACTCTGACACATGGTCTGTGTAATTCAAATCAGTAAGTCTGTCGGCAAGAAGGTCGGCCTTCAAGGATCGAATCCTAGCGTCGATGATTCGGTTGCGACGTCTACGGACGGGATCTCTCTGCTGTCCTTGGATCTGCTGAATTTTTACTTCAGTAGATGACTGTTCTTTTTGTAGCATTCGCACAACCTCAAATACATTCGGATGTGTCTTCATGGCATACTTGTTGATTTTGTTGTGCCAACCTTCCAAATTATTGTTAGTTCTGTGTCCATCATTTTCAAAATGATTCCAAGTTGGTAATGGTAATCCTTCCACTCGCATAACGCAAAATAATAGTCTGTTTTTGCAACCTTAATTCTCTTGCAAATTGTTAAAAAGACATTATCTTTAATCAACTTAATTCATTTACTCATGATACGAGCATAGCTGTAGCCACCATAGCCACTTGCAAACCACTAAGCAAACATTCTCTTTCATTAATTAACACCGTCACGGTATGTTGACCACGCGATGTCGACACTCCGGGTTTTTTGTTTTGTCGACGGTTAGGAACATCCTATTTTTCATTTGTCGACAGATCGGGCTGACACCACTGGGACATAGCCAGATGTAATGGCATTTTCCTATGTACGAACGTCGAACGTCGGTAGCCCGAAACTAATGTGTAATCAATGGGGAACAGGTGTCACGTGTTGACACATTGTAGCAGTCAGTCTTGTTATCCACTCGTGTCGGCTGCACTAACGTCATTCGTCCGCGTTAAGTGATTATGATTTAACAAGCATCCGCATTAACGAGTGTCCGTATAAAGAAATATCCTGTTTAACGAGTGTCCGTATAAAGAACTATCCTGTTTAACGTATGTCCGTATAAAGAAGTATCCTTTTTAACGAGTGTCTGTATAAAGAAGTATCCAGTTTAACGAGTGTATCCTGTTTAACGAATGTCCGTATAAAGACGTATCCTGTTTAACGAGAGTCCGTATAAGAGCTATCCTGTTAAACGGATGGCCGTATAAAGTAGTATCCTGTTTACCGAGTGTCCATATAAAAAAGTATTCTGTTCAACTGATGTCCGTATAAAGAACTTTCCTGTTTAACGAATGTCCGTATAAAGAGGTATCCTGTTTAAGGAGTGTCCGTGTAAAGAAGTATCTTGTTTAACGAATGTCCGTATAAAGAAGTATCCCGTTCAACGAGGGTCCGTATTAGAAATGTCAACCAAGTCTTCGAGCCTGACAACCCGAGCTGTTAGTTGCCTCCTACGACAAGCATGGGTTACTTACCACCGCGTTCGGTTTTAAATGACATTTAGCAGCGTTCAGTTAAGAATTGAATGTCACTTTGTGTGTTTGCACTGAAAAATGAACGATGTCAAAGCATTGTTCAAACTCGTGTGAACGAGCGAGTTTAACGCTTTGACACCGTTCATTTTTCAGTGCAAACACACAAAGTCACATTCAATTCTTATAATTTCGTTTACACATACGTTTTTTACCCACTTCTGCACCCGGGTGTTTCCTAATGTTCGATCAGTAGATGGACTATTTACATGTGTCGTGCCAGTCGGCCTCGAAGAACCACTCCCTCCATAACGGGTACAGGTTTCTCAGTTTGTTGGTTTACGGTTAAATGACCTACAAACAGGCTACTGCAAACAAACGATATACTATGTTGACACAAGTTGATCTGTCACGTTTGCCCGACTATGGTATCCTTCACGGCTTACTACGTACTATATAACGATAACGTATTTTACAGGGCCAGTGCTTTGTCGCCCTTGACCCCAGCGTCTTCGCCCCAGGCTTTGAGGGACGGATGAGTCAGCTCATGGACCACTGCCGAGGACTTGAACCTGTAAGTGTCTCTTGAGAAGAATCGGTGAATTGTGTCCTCTGGCATCACAATACATCTCTGCTACGGTCATTAAAGGTCCCCCTGGACCAACCCTTGTCTCACTGAGGGAATCCCAAACATGACATGTCACTAAAAAAAGTTTGTTTTACTGTGGCTTAACCGGGAGAGAATAAGTCTCTAGTGACCAAGGCTTGTGTCTTTCAGAACAGACTACATAACCGATGAGCTTGCTTTATGGCAAGAGACGAGTACACTCAGTTTTGCATGGTTACAGTATTTGAATCTGGGTATACACTTACAATCGATTGTGCCAGCACGTTATAGTGGTAGCCTGTATTGTGCCTGCACTTTATAACGGTACACTGCATTGTGCCAACATATAACGGTACATTGTATTGTGCCTGCACTTTATAACGGTAAACTGCATTGTGCCAACGCATAACGGTACACTGCATTGTGCCAACACATAACGGTACATTGTATTGTGCCAACACATAACGGTACACTGCATTGTGCCAACACATAACGGTACACTGCATTGTGCCAACACATAACGGTACATTGTATTGTGCCTGCACTTTATAACGGTACACTGCATTGTGCCAACACATAACGGCACATTGTATTGTATCAGCACGTTATAACGGTACTCTGTGCTGTGCCAGGCTGCAGGAGAGAGCGAGGTGCTAGTGCCCGGAGACCCAGAGAGGAAACACATGGCGAAGTGCGACACCCTGGGAGGAATACCATACCATCCTAACCAGATCAAATTTGCTGTAAGTTATATTTCAATATGTTTCACGTTTGCATGTGTCTGTAATATTTATAAATAATACGATATAATACATGACTGCATCATTTTCCTTTCACGGTAGACTGAGCTAATTGTTGTTGTTCTATGCATAGTATATACACGTTATACTCTCGTATTACTGTATCTGCCTGAGATCAGTCCTGCCCATTCTCTCATTCAGAGAGTGGTTTAAGCGTCACTCACTATATGGAGTTGCGGCCCTTAGTAACTCCTGGATCTGATGATCATTGATTTGAATTACACTCAGATCTGTTAACGATCTTGTGCATTCAGATGCCAATATATGCATACGAATGTGTACGTTTTGGATGAGAAAGTTACGTGAAAACAATTCAACATGAAGAAGATCATGTGACTGTTATGTGACCTGTGCTTTTATATTTTGATTTTTCAGAACGACCTCGCGGGAAGCTTGAACATCGCACCAATGAAACCACTTTGATAATGGGGTTGTGCTCTGCTACAAAGTGGAACACTTCCTGTTACCGCACCCCGACCACCTGCCTGCTCCTCCACAACCTGTCTATGCCCCTACCCTTAATCAGGTCCTCTAACAGCCCTGGTGCCACCACGGGTGTTCTTGTGCTATTTAACCAAGATACATATTTCACAATAACAGACTTTCCGCCAAAGATTACCATGCCAAGATGACGTGAATTCGTTATTGTAGGTGTGCCCTCTATCAATGAATATTCAGGTAGCTTTTGAATGCTTGAAACTCAATGTTTCAGGCATTTTCTGACAAAAGATTTGTTCCATTATGCTACAAAGGAATAGTCTAGAAGCTGATCTATCCTTTCTGATGCGTTGATTGCTGGTATACAAGGATATACTCAATATATCTGTTTCTGGATCTTTATATTCCCTTACTAAGGTTGAGTGTGTGTGTGAGTGAGTGAGTGACTGAGTATTGTTTGATGCCGATTTGAACAGCGTTCCAGATATGTCACAACGTATTAACTAAAAGTATTTGGTGAACCTCAAATGAAGCATGCCCTTGTCGATTACCACTCATGGTTCATTTGTAAGTTAACCCCACAATCAACCGATTCTGGCACCACTAAGGGACGCAACTCTCCACATCGAACTGTAACGCCACGGACAAATGGGCTGCTCGTACCTTTAGTACCAAGGATCGGAATATAATGGCTTTAAAAATCCAATAAAGGGATTATGTTTGTGTGGAAATCATAGTTAATGTTGTGTTTTACCCAGAATTACATTGTTGCGAGGAAAGGGTGTTCGGCTGAAACATTCATCGCCATGGTGATGGCTGTTGCAGCAGCTGTGTGTGAATATGTGTGATGGAATCAATAAATCATTGAAGTGTTGTTTCCATGTGACATATCGTGTTACAGAACAATAGTAGGTGACTCATTCCGCGGTAACGTGAACATAATCGGTGATTGTCACCGCTCTGAGAGAGGATGGTGGTACTGCATGTATCCTTGAGACACATGAGTCCACAGTAGGGACGTATGACAAGGGATCGCTGCGGTTGTTGCAAAGTCACGTCATGTTAATTCTCATAAATCAAGGATATGTATGTATGTATGTATGTATTTGTGTGTGTGCGTGCGTGCGTGCGTGCGTATGTATGTACAAAGTATACAGTTACATAAAATGTTATGTTCACAAGTATAGAGTTAGATATATTTAATTAGATTGAAAAAACACAGAGTCAATTTCACTCCTACATGTTTCATAAGTGTCATCATTATACTTCTGGGGCGGTGGGGTAGCCTAGTGGTGAAGGCGTTCGCTCGTCACGCCGAAAACCTGCGTTCGATTCCCCACATGGGTACAATGTGTGAAGCCCATTTCTGGTGTCCCCGCCGTGATATTGCTGGAATATTGCTGAAAGCGGCGTAAAACCAAACTCACTCACTCATTTTACTTCTAGAGATTATAGAAAACATGTAGGAGTAAAACTGGCTCTGTGCTTTTTCAATCTATACTACGTAGGCCGCAATAATACTACGAATGATAAAACTAATAACATTAGATATAAACAGGAATGAGCAGATACGGGTTTACAAATATATCCTAGTAACATTATTTAAACTATTTTATTGAGGTGTTTATATTCTTTAATACGCTTATACTGATAGGCTGTATTTTATAGACGTAAGTGATTATTTTACAACTGAAGGATATTCTCAAAATTATTTTGGAAGATGTCGATTTCTGATTTCGTTTAAGGTAGGGCGATTTAACACGAAATGTAGCTCGGCGCCCATTCCCGTTATTGCTGTGTAAGGGTTCTCATCCAGGGATACCCCATGAACACATAAACACGACACACAACTCATCCGGATTGTGAGTGAGTGAGTTTAGTTTTTAACAATATTCCAGCAATATCACGGCAGGGTGACACCTGAAATGGGCTTCATATATTGTACACATGTGGGGAATCGAACCCGGGTCTTCGGCTTGACGAGCAAACGCTTTAACCACAAGGCTGTTATGATGTGAATAAGGTTTAGATGTGTCAAAGGTTCGACAGTTTTGTTTTAGCCTTTGTTTTTATTTTAACGCTTACAATTCGTTAATTTGAAAATATCAATTATATTGGGAGAGGGTAGAGACTGGGTGGGGACAGGGTAGGGACTTATATATTGTACACATGTGGGGAATCGAACCCGGGTCTTCGGCTTGACGAGCGAACGCATAATCACTAGGCTACCCCACCGCCCTCATCCGGAGTGTGACTGAACGCTACAATTACACGATATGCACATTACGTGGGATATATAACATGTTTTAATGATAGGACTGACTGATTTGAGTTTGGTTTTACGCCGCTTTCAGCAATATTCCAGCAATATCACGGCGGGGGACACCAGAAATGGGCTTCACTCATTGTACCCATGTGGGGATTCGAACCCGGGTCTTAGGCGTGACGAGCCAACGCTTTAACCACTAGACTACCCCACCGCCCTTTAATGATAGGAACGTTACATATACAATACAATATAAGGTGTCGAAATATCAGATACCACGTTGTCGTGAGAGTGAAATGGGTGTTTGTTACGCATGGATGTTGATCTTTGATCATGTCGTATTCCTGGCCACTCACTCATAGAAACACTTACTGACCAAATCAAATGACCAGATATACCTGTATACATCAGTCAGAGTTATTTTGAACGGCCTCATATCACGAACCACAAGTACCACGGACAGCTTGTTTCACAATTTCGACATCAAGTCCTACTCCAGGTAAATATGTAGCTTACTCGCGTACCAGCCACACAACTCACGACATACGATAAGCGTCATATTGTAATTAGATAAATACCGACATGACTGCTACATGTAGGTCAGCTGCAACACACCTGATAGCCAACAGTTCAAAGAGCAGCGTCACACAATGAGATTCATTACCTACAAGCTGTGTATATAACAAAGGGAATGCTGTTTTGAAATCCTTGTGTTATTCAGTCAGGTAAGAACCCCTCCATATCGACTGTGCCACCCATGCCGATTACAATATGTCTTTACCATAAAATAATAAGCCTATTTATATGCCATATAGACGTTTTTTTCTGAAATGTGTGATGTGCTGTTAAAGTCACGGCACATCGTATTTTATATCATGAATATTAGCTTCTGGAATAACTCACTTATCAACATAATTATCCTATGTTTGGGATAGCACTTTCTCGGTAAAACACAACTTCTAGTACTTTCATTGGGTGTTGAGTCCCATCCGGGACTCGAACCCACACCCTCAGAGTCAGGCACCTAATCGCCAGCACAGGAAGTCGGCCGTCTAACCCACTCAGCCAACACGGGTTCCACAACATACTTATTAGAAATGACCTTGAATGTTTTTGTAGGTCCCATGCTCTTGTTTTCCTTATCTTAGTAGTACAACCAATCGCGGATAATGAGTCTTATCATCCTGTTCAGGGTGGTCATTAGTGTACCCCTCAGAAAGTTCAGATAAGGCGGCGGGGTAGCCCAGTGGTTAAAGTGTTAGCTTATCAATCCTGGTTCGATTTGTAATAGACTTGTAATGTTAAATGCATGAGGCGTTAGTGTCACCCCCGTGATATTGCTACAAAAGCGTACAACTATACTGACTCGTTGATTTCAGATGACGACACCCAAGGACAACGATGTCCGCCACGATCCAACTGGACGATGACTTCTTTGTGTGTAGTATCTGCGACGACAGCTTCAGTGATCCGAGGTCACTACCCTGTCTCCACTGCTTCTGCCATCAGTGTCTACAACAGCACATCAACTACTCCGCAACTCTCTCACCACCGTCCTTCCTGTGCCCACTGTGTAGAGGGCTCGCTTTAGTCCCTGCAGAGAGAGCACCACCCTCCACATGGGCGGACTGCTTTCCCCGGAACTTTCTCATGAAGGAACTCATGGGAAAAAGAGCTTCGGGAACACAAAGTGCGTCTCCAGTAGCTGCTGCAGGGGGTCTTCAAACAGATGCTCGAGACTTTTGGTGCTTGGACCATCCCGACTGCCCGCTCAACATGTTCTGTGTGTCCTGTAAAGCTACCTCTTGTGGAAAATGTATGCTCTCTAAACATAGCAACTGTTCGGTAGTCAAGCTCGTATCACAAGGAAAGTCGCCAACAGAAGACATAGGCATTTTCGTGGAAAGGCTCAAAACTGAAATTACGTCAGTTCAGGATCGAGAAAGATGCATACAAGATGAACTCGCCTATTTGACAGGTCAAACGGAAAAGGTGAGGAGGCGAATCCATGAGCATATTACAAGGTTTTATACAATGTTAGAAGAAGAAAAGAAGAATCTTCTTCTTAGGATGGATACGGAATATGAAACTCTGACAAAGGGTCTTGAGACTCAGCATCTTAAAGCAAAGGATCATTTGGCACAACTCAGGAATTTAACCTCTGCTGCTATGGAGACAATGACTCAGAATTCTGACACCATTGAACAATTGACCAGGAGGATACAGAAGACGTTGGCATCTGTTAGTTCAGCAGAAAAACTTCAAAGGATGAGGATAACGTTCACTCCCGATTTCTCTTGTCTCGATAAAGACTTTAGTCTTGGTTCTGTCAACTTCTACAACTCCAGTGTTCCTGCCTCTGCTGGAGTCTCGGTAACCGTGCCAAGGTCAAGGTCATCTGATTGCATGTCATCGTGTCAAGCGGAGTCAGTGGCGCTTCGACAACACACAAATACAGTGCTGAGATCGGCCTCCGTTCCCTGGTTTGACGAAAGTTGGAGCAAAGGGGAACTTGGGAGAGTCGATGAACAACAGACGAGTCCATTCACTCGGAACCCAGGTGGAGACAGTGGTCAACCAAATGCTACAGTACGGTCGACAAGGAGAGGCAACTATACACAGTCCCTGGAATCCGCCTCACGGATCAGGAACTCAGCCCCTGTTGCCCTCCCTGGTGGGGAGAGTGATGCAGAGCTAGTCCAGCCTGTGATGGCACCCGAGGTTCCTGACAACGTGCCAAGCCCTAGAAATAGTTACAGCGGCTATGAACTTGTAGTTGACCTAAATACTGATTCAGACGAAAACGCGTTTACACAAAAGAAGCTCCTCCCGTCCAGTGTGATGCAAACATTTCTGTTGAGTACTGGTGACGACGAGTCCTTGCCTGTTGTCACAAGCATTGTTGTGTTATCAGGGGGATTATTCATGGTGGCTGACGCGGCAAATAAATCGGTGAAAATATTTAACAACGACGGACTCTGTTCTAGTATATCGTTCCAGTATCAACCACATGGATTAGCCGCTGCTTCGGAGGATCGAGCACTTGTCAGTTTCCCAGAGCAAAAGAAAATTGTAGTTATTTCAGTTGGAAAGGAACTGAAGATTGTCAACACGATTCAGTCAATCAAATCGTACTCTCGTCTCATGCATTACCGCCCTGGAATGACGGCAGCGCTGTGCACAGACACGTCCAGTTTAGACATACTCAGTCTCCAGGGCAAGGTCATGAAGACCTTCAGCGTGTTCGACAGTCGGCATGTGGATATCCCCTTCAGCGTTGTCCAAAATCAAGGTTTCGTGATACTGGATTCTACGAATTCAAATCTCATTTGGAAATCTAGGACCGGAAGCACAACATGTCAAGCTACTGTCGACTTTATTAAATGTAGAGTCGTGTCTGACCTTTCTTGCGATTTACTCGGAAATGTGTACATTGTTCAAGATGGCGGCGTTGTTAGGGTGACTTCAAAGGGAGACTACTCTGGTCATTTGGATAATGTCTTCTCGTGTCAGGCCATCTGTTTTTCCCCCAGTGGTCATCTCTACGTGGCTGAGATCGGAGGACATTGCAAAGTACATTCACTGTAACCAGAGCACTCAACATGTTGATAGCCATGATGTGATTCAGTGAGCGAGTATATCTACGCTGCTTTTAGAAATATTCCAGCAATATCACAGCAGGGGACACACACATATGCATTGTACCAATGTGGGAAATTGAACCCGGGTCTTTGGCGTGACGAGCAAACGCTTTAACCACAAGGCTGTTATGATGTGAATAAGGTTTAGATGTGTCGAAGTTTCGACAGTTTTGTTTTAGCCTTTGTTTTTATTTTAACGCTTACAATTCGTTAATTTGAAAATATCAATTATATTGGGAGAGGGTAGAGACTGGGTGGGGACAGGGTAGGGACTGTGTGGAGACTGGGTCGGGATCTACTTGTATATATCTCTTCGCAATGTACATCGTGTATGCGCTTGGTTAATGTTTTTCATGTAAAGATTTGTATTCTGGCTCATGACCTATATGAAATAAACTGAACTCTACATGTTTGTGTGTGCACTATATCCATCTTGGGTCGCACCTTCACAAGATATCATGGTCTGAGTATCAGTACACTCGACTATGCATTAGACATCAGACAATCGCTGGTGATAAAATGGCATTTTATCGTCCCAAACGGGCTTCCGCGGGACATATCGCCTGGTTGATATCAGATAATGACACATCGTAACACATGTTATATTTGAGATATACAGGTTATCACACTCGTGTGTTTTGGGATGATTAAAATCCTGTAATAGGAATAAACATTGCATTTAACGAGCCTTGTGAGCTAGATACATAGTGTTTATTCGGAATTCTAATGCAGGATATTAACCAACCTATTTACCATACAATGTCATTCTCACTCTATGATTTTGAAATAAAATGCGATTTCAATTGCCACAAATCATGAAACTAAACATCGTGGAATTTGCACATATATCTAGCAGTTATATAATGATGGTTCTTGACCACTTCCTCTTATAGGCTTATTTCTACGTAATTCCGCTCCCAGCGCCAAGTATAAAATAGTGATTTTCGAGCAGAGACATCATTCGATGTACAGCCGAGCTCGCCAGCCTAGACACTCATCTCATTTTCGCTAGGGCTACCCATTTTTTCAGCAACTACAAATCAACTACTGACTAGACCTCGACATGCCTAGTAGAGTTTCCTTTATAAGAATCTTATTTTCGCTAGGGCTACCCATTTTTTCAGCAACAATTTTTTCGACCCGACACCAAGGTTGCTCGAACTTCCAATTAGACATATGGAGTTGCTACAGTATACAGGATACACTCCGACAACAACTATGGCAAAACAAAATCTCAGCAACTTTCCAAGAAATGGGCATTCGGTGCAGCAAATCGATCGCACACCACCTCCTACTGGAAAACATACACGACAACAACTTTGTGTCCGATATCTCGATGGTAGACTATCTCGCCGGAAATATCGGGGAAACCCACCTGCAACCACTCTCCAGTCTTCCAGCCTTTGTCGACGGCCTCTACGTGTTTGGGTATCTATTTTCGCAAAGACATAGTGCAGCACAAGGGAAGCGTCCAGAGTACAACTACTACAATCCAAGCAAATCCTAGAGTTTGCTAGAAGTTTGAAGTTTGCTAGAAGTTTGCTAGGGGTTTGCTAGAAGTTTGCAAGAAGTTTGCTAGAAGTTTGCTAGAAGTTTGCTAGAAGTTTGCTAGAGTTTGCTAGAAGTTTGCTAGGTTTTGCTAAGAAGTTTGCAAGAAGTTTGCTAGAAGTTTGCTAGAAGTTTGCTAGAAGTTTGCTAAAAGTTTGCTAGGAGTTTGCCTAGTTTGCACCAAGTTTGTCTTGTTTGTACCTAGGTTCTACCTAGTTTTCCATATAGACAATGGTGTAGATATAGAGTACAAAAAAATGCCTCCAAAAACACAACTATCGCAAGACCAAGTGGAAGAGTTTCGCAAGATGCATGCAGAAATCTCGGCACAAGAAACGAAACAACGATTTGGTATCGGTTCCAATCGACTACGCAAAATATGGAATACAGCTGCAAATACGACCACAAAACCATCTACCAACACCCTCTTGCCCGCCGGAGAGAAAGATCCAAATCCGACATCGACCTCCAGCACAGACGCATTGGCTGCTGCAGAACCGTCGACTGTGCCCACCGTCCAGGACTTCTAATGACAGCTTGGGGAGGCTCAAGGCCCGTGTGGAACAAACCACCACGATGTTGTTGGCTCGTGCAGAGCAAACCACAAATTTGTTTGTCGGAAATAGAAAGCGTCGAGGAGGAACAAGAAAAAAACGTCTGGATATCGACAAGGAGAATCGGCCAAAACGTTGACCACCCTTTCGCTAGCCAGCGTGTTTCTCTTGAAGGTCGTCCACTAGACCTGGAAGCACAGCACACAGGCTAGAATGCCGGCCCACATACCGGTCGACAAGAAGACAGAAACGCCCAAACCAGTTTCCACGGCCAAACCCGGGGATCCCCACTATATGGAGTAGAGAAGTCGATGTGTGGAATGCAGCCTATTTGGAAAAAAGTATTGTAGTAGGGTATACGAACCATGCGTTTGTTTTTTTCGTCCGGGCGTGTGCCCTAATTTCCGTACCACGAATTCCAAGAAAAGCAGTTGGAATACGAAAACGGGCCTAGACAAGTCTACGACTCCATTCGTCCTTTGCAACCCCAAGCCCGCGACTGTGCATCTGCAAAAATACTAGGCGAGCTGTCAGAGGGTCTGTCTAGAAAACTATACAATTGGGGCAAGACTAGACTATTTGCTGTCGGCTATGGAAACAGTCTGTGGACTTGTACTTCTAGAGGTGGCGTTGTGTTGTAGTTTCTATTCGTACGATCCATCTAATGTCTGTGTACGGGAATGTCTACATCGTCTTTTGGCGCTCCATTTTTGGCGCTTGTAGATACAGGATAGTTCGCTCGGTCCCATCATACACCTGTTTTGCAAACCTGTGGATGGCATAGATCCCTTCTGGAAAGTCTACACGTTTTTGGCGATGATACCTGGACGATGGATTTTGTAGCCCTTTGTAGTTCTAGATATTCTTCGTATTCTGACATGTTCTCTATTTTCTCTACTTCCTGCGCTCGTCCAGATACTCCTTTCCTATAGGAGATGCCACTACCTGTATTTTCTTCCAACGAATCTCTTTGTCGGTTTTGTTGAAGAACGATCTTTCGGAGGATTCGATCTCGATTTGCAGGGTGTGTTCGTACACTTCATCTGGAGAGAAATCCTTTTCTACCAACCAATACATTTATCGCTGGAAACAGTCTGTCTTCGTTCTCTCGAAGTAGGTGAGGTGAGGTGAGGTAAGGTGAAATTGGGTTTAACGTCGTACTTGAGAATATTTCGCTCATATGACGACGTGCATGCGTGTGTATGTGTATGTGCGGCTGCTTGTACTAGCCCAGACTGAAGCTGGTTTTATAGTGCTAGCTCACTGAGATACCATGCCGCAGTGAAGCATGAATACCCCACTCATTATACTGACTCTGAGCCGACCAGTCCTTGGGACCAACAAGTACCATATTTTAACGTCTTCTCGAAGTAGGAGTCGTGTTGTCATAGTACTCTTTCTAGCCCCGCTGTAGTCCAAACAGTGCTCGTTTCGCCTGTTGGCGATTGGAGGACGATGCGTGTGGAATGGTTGGTGGTTCGGAAGCTGAGAATGCCGTAACGGCCGGCTATTACCCCTACTTTATTTGTATCCATCTTGCAGAGAGCATTTTCCACAAGCAGTTGGGATTGTCTTCGTTTTGGGATGTATGCTGTGGCTTCTGCAAAACTATCTTGCAGAGCTTTGATCTCCTTTTTGTGTTGTTCTGCTCGTTCCCGGATTTCTATTTCCTTTTGTAGGGCCTTTTGGGCTCTTCGTTGCCAATTTTCTGCCTTCTCGGACTCCAGTAGCTCCAGCAATTTCCTTCCTTGTGTTTGTGTAGACAGGGTAGACATTTTGCGATTGGCCGCTATGTTCGGCATTTCTTGGAAAGGTTGGTCGGATCCTTCTCTGCCCAGCTTTTGGCATTTTTTCTGTCTCCATTGCAATTCGATGTGTGCAGTTGTCGGGAGAAATATGCCTGGATCCATGCCGGATGGATGTAGAGCTGTTGGCTTCTTGCTGGCAGCTAGCACCATCTTGGTGTCCACGCCTTTGGCATAGCATCAGAGTGGGCCTAGTTCCACTGTATCTCCTTCTACCGATAGGATGTCCATGCGGAATATTGGAACCCTTCAAAAACCGAAGTCTCCTATGGTCCAGTCGATGGTTTTATCCCAGGAATCTGTGTTGGTTGGACGAATGTGTACTCCGGACACGCGACCAATTTTCAAAGGTGCGTACCACGCGATGAAGATCGTTTGCTGTGGATGGTTGGCTAGGACCAAACAGCGGTCTATCTTTTCTGCGAGACGAAGCCACTGCGCTGCTGGTGGTTGTACTATGAGTAGACCGTTGCCTGCTGGTGAAACCCGCTACAACACGTCTTGCAAAACGTTTTCTGCTCTGTTGGTGGACATGTCGGTGTCTTGGCAGGCGTACAGGGACACTTCTATACGAGTGCAACTTCGTCGTTGTACATCTGGGTGGTGAAAGGTTTTGCGGAGATGCTCGTTTGGACAATCCACGTAGTCGGCAAGATGGCTGCCAATCGGTTCTCGGATTTCTCCGGCTTCGAAGTTGCAAACGACTTTGTTGTACAGCTTGGTGTGCATCGTTTTGCCGGACTTTGTTGTCTCTACCCACGTGCAAACATGGTTGCCGACCGAGTGGGTGTTGTCTAGAATGGTGGGTTTTCCGCTTTTGATAGCTTCCACGAGATCGCCTTGTTCGACAAATCCATGTTGGCTACAGAGGAATTGCACGAGCTGTTTGTGGTCTTGGACGCCGGAATAGTCTCGGGTGTAGTCGATGCTGTAGATCCCTAGTCTTTTGCTTTGTAGTTTTGTTTCTAGATTGGACAATTTCTCTTGGAGTCGGTCGATAGGGATTTCGGCTACATCCACTTTGGCCATGACAGACTGCAAAAGGGGTTTTGTCATCGTTTTGAGCTTTCCATGCTCGTAGTGATTTCTGACGGGTTTCGCTTTCGATCTTTTGGATCGTGCTGGCAATAGCTCCTGCACTCGTCTTTTGCACCGTGTGGAGAAGTGTTGGATACATTTTGGTTGCTTCGGTATGCTCTTTGTAGGTGGTGCGTATTATCCAGTGGACGCTTCCCTTGAGCTGCACTATGTCTTTGCGAGATAATATAGCCAAACACGTAGAGGTCGTCGACAAAGGCTGGAAGACTGGAGAGTGGTTGCAGGTGGGTTTCCCCGATATTTTCGGCGAGATAGTCTACCATCGAGATATCGGACACAAGGTTGTTGTGTGTGTTTTCCAGTAGGAGGTGGTGTGCGATCGATTTGCTGCACCGAATGCCGATTTCTTGGAAAGTTGCTGCGATTTGTTTTGCCATAGTTGTTGTTGTCGGAGTGTATCCTGTATA